AGAGAGAGAGAGAGAGAGAGAGAGAGAGAGAGAGAGAGAGAGAGAGAACAATGGCGTTATATTTCTACATTCAGTTTCTTCCAAAATTACCTACATACTTCGATTTGATTTTTTTTCTTTAATACGTTGATGCGATGCAAAAAGAAAAAAGAAAAACAAAACCAAGACGATGTAATTCGTAGACATTATTTTATATGAATAAAAGTTAATACAAGTTGATTTTTTAGACTCTGTTCTACTTTATATACATACGCGTATATTGTCACTGTGTTCAAATTTTTAACATGCTTATCAACTAACCCTATTTTCGTCAGTTTCAACGTACGTTTAGTTATTTACATTTTTCTTCGGTTAATATCGATATTCTTTTTCCGATGTTAAATTTCTCCGTGATACGAAACACCTCTATTCTACGTTAATTTCACGATTTGTTTGTTAATAATTATTATCACAAATATATATAAAATATCTTACACAATTGTCCAGAAAAACCAAGAAGCTTTGTGTATTATACATGATGTTCTTTTCTAACTCGAACACGTATTTTAGTGTTGGCAATCGTGAGTACACTCGACTACGACAGTTAAAAGGTTAAACAACTGATAAAATTACTCATCGGCTATCGGTTTATCGTCGATGCAACCACACATTACAACTTTTCCTACATCGGACCGAAGATTAAATGGATCTACACAAGTTTCATAACGAGTGCTGTAAATCTGTGTCAGAGACCTTCGATCTTTTTTTTTCATTTGGAAATTTATGCTAATACATACGTGGTGCCGGATGAGCGTACCACGTTCTAGATCAACAGCGATTATATTCTCAGTAGTAGGGCAGAAAACATAATGGCAAACAATGATGCGAAAGTACAACAGTGAGAAAAACTAACTTCACAAGACGCTATTTTCTTACGAGAGAAGTGTTTTGTACACGTGAAACGGTTTTTGTACCTGTACACGAGGTGGGTCATTGGAACGGCCTCTCCTTTCAGCTACGTGAACCTGGCACCCGACTTTTCAAAAATTCATTTTATTCTTATAGAAAATGATAGTATTTCGTTTGTAGTTGATTGTAGTAACAATAGTTTCGTTTATAGTTTCACGAATTAACAATTCGAAAAAATTCAAAAAATGGTCAACACCCGACATTGAGATTTTTGAAATCTGTTGTTTCCTCTATCCTTTAAAAAGGAAACGAAAAGCGGTACGAACTGGTACAAACGATTCTAAAGAATGGGGAAAAAACAGATTTTAAAAATCTTGAAAATTGACGATTTCCACTCTGACGCGGATCAACGATTGCTATATAATTTAAACTATCGAGGTACAAACCAAACGAAAAGCGGTACAAACGGGTACAAACGATTCTACAGAATAGGGAAAAAACAGATTTCAAAAATCTCAATGTCGGGTGCTGACCATTTTTTTTTTAATTTTTTTTAATTATTAATTGACGAAGGTACAAACGAAATTCTATGATTTTCTACAAAAAAAAAAAAAATTAATTTCGGAAAAGTCGGGTGCCAGGTTCACACAGCTCTTCCTTCTGATACGTTTAAGTAAATTAACTTCATTTGCGTATCAGTAGATACACTTATATGAATACTATTAACGTTTCTGCAAATCAATGTTCCTATGCGCTCATTTTTCTTACGACTCAAACTAAATGTATGCGGAAAAGATAATTTCATATTTTCCTGAAATGGAACCAATCGAAGTTGATTCGCGACAAAAGCGACACATAAGGGAAGACCTATCGGAAAAAAAGATGATCCAAGATTAGAAGCTAACCGTGAAAACACGGACGGAATTGGCTGTATCGGATTTCTGGGGAGGGCAGAAAACGTTTAAAATGTCAACAAGGTCGAAACGGCCGAGCGAGTTAATTGGCGCATGAATGTCACGGCGGATTTTAATCGCCAAGCGCCATGTAGCACGAGATCGCGAAAGACGCATAGAGATACGATAAATTCAAGGTAAAGTTCGTATCAATGAAACAACTTTGCAAAGGTCAGCCGATAGCTGCCACGAAAACCGCACTTGACACTCGTGCGACTACGTTACATACCTACACCGCAGTCGAATGAAAATAACGAAATGAGAAATAAAGTGCGCAATGTCGTTGGCTGAACTGAAACCTTACGCCTATGCTAGCGAATAAGAACAGAGAAAGAAACATAACGGATTACACTGTGTGTTTGTTTGTGTGTGTGTGTGTGTGTGTGTGTGTGTGTGTGTGTGTGTGTGTGT